ATCATCTCGTTCGTAACACGTTTAAATTGAATTAAGTCTTTTCTAAAAGGTTATACAAGAATATGCAGACATACCTGGCCACAACCAATCACCAGTGGGCATCTTGGCACGAACCTCAATTTTTCCATATCTTAGCGTTTGACTGAATACCGTTCTCAGTCGAGCGGACTGTATGGGGTTTAATATCTCATTGGCGTTGCCAAATCTGTCACATCCATACCAAGCATTACCGGTACATATATCAGCGGGAGATGCGCCTAAATGAATAATTATACAGTCAATATATATTTCCAATAACAGCCTTCCCCATTATACTTTACATTGTCTGAAAAGTCCGCCGCCAGCAAAACACGTAGCCGAAATGTCCGGATTCACATCATACTTACCCCAAAGGTCAAGGCGGCCAGTATAGAGGTAATCTTCTCCGTACAAATCAGCGGTCAATGTCTGAAACAACACAATATTGTCAAAAAATAGCAGTAGCCCGCTGAGTAGATATTAGAGTAAATTTCGCTAGATTGTATTCACGACTGTTTTTTGACCGAAGATAGAATCCTTTAGTGACCATATCAAAAACATGCAAGGCCGGGAACGCTTCAACATATTAGTCAAAATATAATGAAATGAGTGCATTTTCTGAAATGTTAACATCGACAAGTAATTAGATATAAAAGGCAGTTGGTGGTCTCCGTCACAATAATTTTTATTCCGGAATGGCAGCCGAAATCTCATTGACTCCCCCCCCCCCAATCATGTTCAATTTTCTACCGTCGCCGCGTCCAATGTTCTCCTAACCATAACATTACCATGTTGTATTTGGAACAGCAGACGTGCTAACAGTATAAACAGAAATATTGGGGAACAAGTCACGAGGCTTTCTCGTTCTCAATGTGATATTGGCGGCCGTTTACAAATAAGCTCTATTTATCGCATACCCAACCTGTCTAACATAGTTGCGTTCTTACCGGTTTTATATAAAGAATTCCATCACGTACGTAACTATTAGAACGATTATTCGTGTAATACTGAAATTCCCAATTCTGCAATAAAAAGAAGATTAAAAAAGATATGAGCAACCCAACAATTCCAGAAACAAGAATGAAGGACAATAATGAAACGCGACACCATACAAAACTACACAGTGTGTACAGTACAGTGTACAATTAGCGCGTTTCGTTACCACGTGGTCTTTCTGTTTGGGTACGTCGTCAAATTCGTCGTTTAGTTCATACTCGTTCGTAACTACCCGTATTATAATCGCTAATGGTAGCCGGTCAACATTATATTTCTAGCCCAAAACCTGGTTACAGACGAAGACTACTACTTACACCACCGCCTCCAGCTGTCATCTCGTGTTGCCATGTCTCTAAGTTCAACTCGTCGAAATTGTCTTCAAAAACCAAGGTAAATTCTGAAGAGATACAAAAGATTGTTTAGTGATTCACTAGTGCGCCGCTATGCCAACACGATTGTTTTTAACTACTAGTCGATCGCCATGATGCCTTCATACCTTTGAAGCGATGTATGTTTTAATTGTTAATCACGATTACTGTTATTTCTAGTATTTTTTATGAAAAATCGGTAACAATTCGAGAAAATAGTGAACTACACATACAAGTATTTACAAGTCATTCCGAACGCACGCGGAGCATTACAAGTAACTCAAAACGCATGCGTGGCTTATACAAGGAATACGAAATGCATGCAATCATCACAGTCATATACGATACATGTGGTGTGTCTGCCTGAAAAATGGCCGATAGTGAGCCGAATTTGAATTGTCACCCCAACATAGCAAACCAAACAATGGACAAAATCGGGAACGTTATGTCCGACAAATGACAAACTAAAACAAACTGATCGCAAAATGACGTAGATCATCAGCTCATAGGGTATAATCATCATATTCATGAAAAACGGTCGATGAGCATGTTCAAATATTGTTGTCAAAATAACCGAAAATCGGTTAAAAATTCATCGAATCTAAAACAGGCTGGGCATGCATATGTTTCAACACTGTGGCTTGGCTTCCTACAAACTTCCAACAAACTCGATCCATGCATGTTCGGGAAATGTACGTCAGATCTCACTCAATTTGCAAAAACGACTACCTTACCTTGGCCAAATGAGGCACCGATGAATAATGCGAAGGCTATAAACCTGTACATCCTTCGAGTTCTTTATTCCAAAATACTGTTTCAATTATTCGGGGGTCTAATTTATACTATATTGCTACAATTATATTTAGGTTATCTAAACCATGAATAACGAGATACGTTTACTGATACAAGTAAGACAGGTTTGCGTGAATGATGATATATGTACGTAAACCAAGGATTATAAAACTTCGTTGTTTTCCACGTATAATAGCTTGCCACCGAAAGAAACGCAACGCTAAGCACTGTGAGAATGTTACGTTTCAATTGGAGGTAATTTCATCAATTATATTTAATATATTTATTTTATATGCAGAAATAAAGCGTTTATTTAGTGCCATACACGAGACTTCTGACGTACAGATGTTGTTATCCCAAGCCGATAACATTTAGTTACACAATGACATAGGCCACAGTCTTTGCACAGGCAGAAATACATTTTTGCGATGCCAGTGTGAGTATATTGACCGTAAGAAACAGGTGCACAGAACCATTGTGTGATCACGCACGATGCGAGTGTATCTATCCTGAGATCATGACGTCAGTGTTACACGTGTAGTATTTCCAGTATGTATGAATTAACGGCGTATACTGATGTAGAAAAACTAATCTAAGCCTTACCTGTATAAAACAAAATGGTGACGTGGATACGGCATACAATTCCATGATTATTTGTGCAATGACACTTTCTTGCAATTTTAATTTCCTCATGCCAAACACATTCGATTAAGTCAAATGCAATTTACTTGCACTATACACAAGTTTGACTGTACATACGAATCTGCTCAGATGCTATCGAGTGAGGTTGAGAGGTGGAGTGAGAGATTTCATCATCAGTATAGTGCTGTTTGCATACATCCCAGCATTCTAAGTAAGCAACCAACCATCGTAATTTAGCAGCAGAAAATGAACTAAATATGTAGGAATTCAGAGCTGTTGTATCATAGCAAAGATGTCTCATTTCACCTTCTTAAAATAGGAGGCGATCCTCTAAGATTTCTAAAGTCCCTGAAACCCTCATTTAATTGTAAGTCTGTCAATGACATTGGTTTGTTTTAATACGCCAACTGTGAGTGGGTCATTCATTTTACATTTACGAATTAAGATACTAGTAGTGTTCTGGATTTGGTTAATTTTTTTTTTTTCAATTTGATAAAAATATTTATAATAATACTTGCAACTCTTATATAATGGCTTATCAGTTCCTGATTATAAATGGTACTATGATGTACCGGTACTAGTCTTTCACTATTATCAGCTCTATGATCACCACAGTATATCGTTGGAAATGACAAATACTCAATATCATCACCAAATACATCAATAATGTTAAATAAAGTAGGAGATTTACTTCACCTGGAGTTTAACACTATGTTTTATTAGCGCCCACCGTGTACTCCGCTGGCTTGTAGCATTGCCTCTAAATTGGCAGCTGGTCTTTCATCTAAATTTACATTATACCAAGAGTCACTGCTGTCTATACGACGATCTGAGTTCACAGTTTTTTTCGTTTCTATCGCTATCGCTATTGACAATGAATTTCTGTGTCCTTAATTAAGTCCACACTATTTATGTTTATTGGCAAGCTTGCCCCAGTGATCAGTTTCATCGGACGATGTTATACTGTGATACCTTGTGATGCATTGTATGAAAGGTACCCTAGAAGAAATTAATCTTTCTTATAAGGATCTAAATTTAATTTGGAATGTTTTACAGGAAAATTTCATTTCGTTAGCTTTTGAACATGATGAAACATTTCCCCTTTTTAAGTGAGACTGAGCAAGGATTACATATCCCTTGTTTCTTGTAAGCTGACTTAAAGTTTATCATTGTAATTAATATTCTGAACACATTCTGTGACTGAACAACGGTTACAAATATATTCTAGTCTTTCAGACACATTTATATGAACTTATCAGTAAGCTTGTCAAACATAATCTTTTCATTTTAACTTTAAGCTAACCTTTTCCAACTGAAGAACAATTTTCCTTTTTACATACTCAGCTAACTTTTTTCCAACTCCTTAGCACTTTGTTGTTTTACTTTCTTAGATAACCTTTTTTCCAAATACACACTAGTTATCATGTATGGATGGAAACGACGTGAATATAAATTTGGTATTGCTATGATTATTCCTAAAGAATGAAGAAAAAGAATAAAACGTTCATTAAATATTCACTATGCATTAATTTAACTATTGTAGCCGATAAATGTGAAATCTAAATTAGATTTATATGAATAGGTAAAATTCCGATGCATTTTTCAGGACAAATGATTAACAGACACATCTGTGAGTTCAAAACCGAGCGAATGTATATGAAACAATAGCTATATTATAACGTTTCAAGGTCGTATCAAAGTAAAGCCTATTGAGTGGCATTCGAGATATCAAACACAGCCAATGTTAAGCCAATACAGATTTTGAAGACTCATGTTCAAGACTTTTCAACATTAAACTGCCCCAAGATTAAATAGTGATTAATGATATACACAAGTTTGGAAACAAATTGGAGAAAAAATACATGAGTTATCCTGGACAGAAGTTTTTGTTTATGATAACAGATGATGGAAGACACTGGACGCCGCCGAACAAGTTACTCCTTGCTCTTTCATTATATTAGAGACAAAAATTGCGTTCAATACCAACGAGCCAGAAAAGAGAGAAAATTTTCCCCAGAAAAAATACTATACGTATTGTGGTATGAAATATTTTTGAAACCTGACCCAGTCATTTAAATACATGGCGTAACTTCAGTTTGAAAATAAAGGCAATTATATGCCTACGTGACTTTGTCATTACATACAAGTGTAACACTTAATGAAACAAAAGATGCATTTTTCAGAACGTAACATGCCAATCTCGTATACTGTATGCCGTATGTCGTACGCAACGACTTGTCATCGTTGTCGCAGTATTGATGTTGCATTTCCATTTTGCAAACCCTAAACATTAATAAATAAAGCGAGACAATAGTATCCGGTAAAACAAAAGCAAAAATAGTGGATAGATAATGAGAAATTACCAGCAGAATATGAAGTGAAGCAATTAGTGATTAATATAGACACTCAGTGAATTTGTTGTCTTTAAAATGTAGTCACATTGTAGGTATGTTGTTTGTCTCTCTGTCTGACTCTATAACGAATAAAAACCTTCAGTACTCTCAAAATGAAATATATGAAAAAGGTCTTGGAGGGATATCTACTTTCAATATTTTGAGTTTTTTAGCAAAAAACATCATTTTCACTGACGTTTCTGGCATGATAACACAGATTTTCACAAATATTTCATGCATTTCTAAATTATTAACTAATTGCTTCTGACCAATATGGACATACGGTTTGCCTCTGATTGGCTGGTTGGTTGCGACTCTGTTTTCTGATACATAATACGAACGAGGCCTTGTAACTACACCAATTGATTACACATAAGATATCTAAAGGAGGTTTAACCGTATCGCACACATGTCTCTTCCGTTAATTAGGATTCCTACTTATGTACAATACTGTCTATAGTCGACAAAAACACATACCAGATGTTTCTCCGCAATGTTCGGCTTTATTGCGAACCGAACCTTCGTGCTTACCTTACCGTCTTGGGCCAGATTTCAAGCTGAATTCAATTTCTTTGCATTTCCATAAAGAATACAATTATTCAACACCGAGGCAATGATTGTATGCCTTTGGCTTGGGAAAGCTTTGTATAGTCATGATGCATAATACAGATGATGAAATATAAGTTTATGGTTTGTATTACTATATAAATGCTTATATGTTCTACGTGTTCCCTACATGTTCCCTACGTGTTCCTCATCAACTACAAGGCCAATGCAGTCATGATTGTATAGTATGCTGCAATGCTATTTTGCACATTGCAGTCTGACAGGGACGTGTTGGTGGCGTGATGGCGGCGTGTTGGTGGCGTGCTGGTGGCGTGTTGGCGGCGTGCTGAAGGGGTGCTGAGGTGGGTTCACATTACATGGCATGTAGGACGGGTGAACAAACTACACTGACCTGTAATGTTATTATCATATCTGTGGCTAGCAAGTGTTTCTTTTCACAGGTCCTCATAAATAAAGTTGTCTGATCAACAAATAATTTCCCCATAATGTTTACAGAAACCTCGCATTTGTGATTTATGAAAGCCTCTTAGGGCCATATCACGAGATACTATCACGAGATCACCAGATACTATCACGAGATCACCACATAATTTGATTGGTCGAAACTCTATTATTCGCAACATCTGTGAGGCAAATTAGTTATATTATGGTCATTCGATCGTTGCGACACATAAACCAAAGCCGATTGTGGTTTATATGACGTAACCATCACATGACCATCGTTTGACTGGTACATATACTATCATGATCTACTATCCATATTACATGCGCTCATAGCAGTAAACATGGGACCTTATTTATTCATCTTACTGTCTATGAAATAATTAAGTTTAATTTTTGAATTGTGTATTTAAAGCCCGATAAAATTGTATAAAGAAAGTAAATCATAATTTTTCTTAAAAACAATTATTCGAACGTTGGCAGTAGTTACGACCTGTTATGTATGATATGTATCCCAGCGCGTGAAAAGTGTTTCTTTTCACGAAATTTGAACAATCGTTGCACGCGGACCAGCCTTTCACAATGACTCAAAATACAAGGGTAGTAGAATAGAATCCTTTTCTCCCGAAGGTTTGACGGCATATATTTACGTTCTAAATGCAGTTATATAATTGTACAATATCTCAAAAAGTTTTTCAGTGTTGTGTAGTCCATTTATCTAATATACTGTTTAAGATAGTTGACAACCTCCCTCTCCTCACCAATCACCTGCTCAGGAGACAATAGTTGGGTGATAACACCATTTGGAGTCACTAAAACAAACATGGAGTCACT